AAAGAACTTTTTTATTCACTAATATCCATCTTCATTCTATCAACCCTAAAACAATTACAGGTAGTCCCCAGGTTATGAACATCTGACTTATGTACAATCCACAGTTATGAACCAACCCCTCTAATTTGAGATACATACAATGGTTCATAAATATCAAAACATCATCATTATTATTATTATTACTGTAGTATTACGTTAAAGATGTTTTAGCATATCTGGAAGTATTTCTTTAATATTTTTATTCATAGTGTACATTATATACTAAGACAAGTATTTGACTGACATTAGATACCATACATAACTGTTCTGATATGTAAAAAGTGAATGTAAAGATTGACTTAGGAACTCATTCGTAATCCATGGACTGATTGTGTATGAATTAATTTTTAATTGAGGAGACTATATACTGAATATGGTGATGCAGAAAAGAAAAAAGAACACAATATGCAAATGTACAAAACATTTCAGTTGACTGGTAGCATAGTGGCTAAGGTACTTGACTGCTAACTAGAAGGCTGACAGTTTCAAATCCACCAGCACTCCTCGGAAGGAAGATGGGGTAATGTACTTCAGTAGTGATACTGCCTCAGAAACCCAAGGAGGGGTCGCCGTGAGTCAGGTCTGACTCGATAGCACATAAGAACAACAACAACAACATCAATTTAATTCAGCTTTATGTCCATCTCTAAAATATAAGATTGTGGCAAAAGTTATTATTTGTGATTTAGCCTAGCTCTTCTGTATTATCTCACTATGGATCTCGTACTTTTTAGTTTAGCTAATTCCTTTTGGAGCTATTTATATTTTGTGCTGATGCTGCCTTACATTTCTGTATATTTATAGAATTCACAGAAAGTATACAAAATGATAGCTGAGAATCAGGGACCAAATATTAAATCCAGCCAGCTATTAGACTAAATGGTCATGTTGATTTTGTTACAGATTATATGCTCAAAATATAAGGGGAATTTTAAAAAATAAAATTCCCCTGTCTCATCCAAGCTAAATTGCTTTTTGACATGAATATAGTCAGAACATTTTACATACAAGAAAATCAATACATAAATCTCTGTCCCCATACTCTAGGAAATGTTATGCAGATTGCCAGAATGTTACAATACTGACTAAGCCTTTACCTTCTAAACAACTGTCCTCAGATTTGCTCTTAGCTGTAACTTTTCTTACTATTCAGTTCCAGCATTGCAACCTGCAGTCTATGGCAATTTGTATAAATGCTGTGAATTGCTATTTCCACATTTTAAAAAACCAAGCACTTTTTTTACAGCTTACTCTGACATTTTCTTCTCCTTGGCAGTAGGAATTTTGCTGGAGCTGTTGAATATCTATTTATGTAAAACTGTCTATTGTGTGTATACAAATTGAAGAAAAGCTGCAAACACCCAATCCCAGCTAGAAAGTAACCCTCCAATGTTACAGGTGAATGGATATTTGCAGTTCAACCTTGTAGGATGTACAGAAAATTTGCCAGTCTACTCTTCCATGACATATGGGAAAATACGTAAAAATCCATTACTTTTCCATTTTTAAATTATGACATGATAAAAAAGAACACTCCTATATACACATACATTTTTCAGGTATAAGTTCTTGTTTGGTATGTTAAAAATTATTTCTGTATTCTGAAAAATCTGTAAGTGCTATATAAAAAAAGAAAAAAGCTACTTGGTAACAATAGTTGTAATTCCAAATAACCACAGTGAGACAGCTGAGCTCCCTCTTCCCCCTATTTACTCATTCACGTATTCATTTGACAATGAATGGTCCCCACCAGGCACTGTGCCAGGCTCAGAGGACACTAGAATAAGGCAGATGCATTGAGGAGACCAAGAATAAACCAAGAATAAAATTCTAAGCTAATTGCATACGAATGTTTACTGCAGCACTATTCACAATAATCAAAAGGTGGAAATAACCTAAATGTCCATCGACAGATGAGTGAATAAACAAAATGTGGTATATCCGTACAACGGAATATTACTCTGCCATAAAGAAAAATGAAGATCTGATACATGCTACAACATGGATGGACCTTAAAGATGTTATAATAAATTAGTCATGAATGGGCAAATATTGTATGATCCCACTTATATGAAATAGGTAAATATATATATAGACTAAAGCTTATTAGTGGTTACTGTGGGTGGGAGGTGGGTAAAAGAAAGACTCATTGCTTATTGGGCACTGAGTTTCTGTCAATAGTAGTGGAATCATTTGGAAAAGAATACTGATGATGGTTGCACACATGATGAATATAATCAAAGTCTCTATATTGTGCATATGAAAATTGTTGAATTGGCAAATGTATTTTATACCTATTTTTACCACAATTTAAAAAATGTAAACTTGTAAATTATCAGAATCTTTGAGAATATACTATTTTAAAGGAAGTAAGTGAGGGATCTGGTAGGAAGGTTTGGAAAGGCCTCTTTGAAGAAGTGACACAGGAGCTGAGGCCCAAAAGAAGAGAGGTGCTAAAAGGAAGGAAGAGGGTCTGAGGGTCAGATAGACCAGGCGGCACCCAGAGCAAGAGTGGAGACCCTAAGGTGATAAAAATACCTTGTTTGAACTGAGAGGAGGTCCCTGTGGCTGGAGCTCAGTGAATGGAGAGAGAGTGGTTTGAGCTGAAGCTAGGGAAATGGACAGCAACTAAGTCATGAAGGCCTCACAGAACTTTGAAGGAAGCTTGGGTTTTATTTTCAGTATAGTGAGAAGACCTGAGTGGGCTTCAGTAGGAGATGGCATGATCAAATTTATAGTTTTAAAGATCACTTCACTTGCATCTGTTCCTTTAATCCTCATACCTCATCCCTTAAAGTAGGTGTGCTTAGCAACATTTCACTGAAGAGGAAAAATATCACACAGGTAGCAAGTGGCTGAGCCTGGAGTTACCTGCATAGCAACATTTTCTTCTGGTCCACACTGCTGGAAGTTCCCAACAGTGTAGTTGATACGTGCCCTTCAAATACCTATACAGACACTTCAGGAGTCAGTGGCATCACATGGTTTTTTTTCTCTGCTAGGTTCATTTAATAATGAAAAATTCTGAAAGCCAGAGTACAATGTCCATTTTCCTGAGTTCTTGCTGGCCACTTTGATTTGGTCCTCCAAAAGTACATATTTGAGTATCTGCCTTCTATGGAATGCATTTATTTCACCAAATCAGGCATTGCATTCCAAGGCCAACAGATCTTCCCCATGCTAATGTGAAGCTACATCAGTCTGTACTTCTTGCTGTTTTAACTCCAGGTCCCATTCCACATCCAGCCCAGGTCTGTAATATGCCTGTTTCATATCAGGCACAGGGCTAGTGCTGAGAGCCCAAGGATGACTGCAACAGGTCGAAATACAACATGTCATGATGTTTGGAAGGTTTGAAGTAATACTCTGAAGATTGGTTGCTTCTTACAGAGCATATCTAAAGTGGAAAAAGCCAGTGAGCATTGACACGAAACTGACCCTTAGAATAACCAGGGCTCCCTCTTTATATTGGAGTTATATATATATATATATATATATATATATATATATATATATACATACACACCAAAAAACCAAACTCACTGCTGTCAAATCAGATCTGACTCATAGTGACCCCTCCTTGGGTTTCTGAGGTGGTATCTCTGTGGAAGTAGATTACACAATCTTCCTTCCAAGGAGTGGCTGGTGGCTTCTGGTTAGCAGTCAAATGCCTCAGGCACTATGCCACCAGAACCTCCTGTATAATTTTAATTTATATATATTGTAGACCATCTAATCCAGCATATTGGAGACCCTGAGTAGCACAAATAATTAATGTGCTCAGCTGCTAATTCAAAGGTTGTCCAT